AGGAGAGGCAGCCTACGCAGCGCGCGTCAAAACGAGTGCTCTACCGAGGATCGAAGCGGGTACCGGCGGACTTGCTCGCCGTCGTCGCCGTGCCACGTGAGCATTTCCATGGTGATGATATCGACGACGCCGTAAAAATCACTGTTTTCGCCCATCGGAATCTGGATTGGAAGCGCGACGACGTTGAATCTATTGCCGTTGCCGGAATTGAAGTCGCGATCGTGCTACGTACCGCTGCTCAATCATCTGCAGCGTCCGGTCGTACGACGCGCCTTCGCGGTCCAGCTTGTTGACAAACGCAATGCGGGGCACCTACGCTCTGCATATTGCTGCTGCATTCGTTGAGAGAGCGACGCGGACCTTGTACCGGTCGGCTTGCTCCCAGACGGTCTCGGTTTGGGCTACGCGACGCAATGAGACGCAGCCGCCCATGCTTCTGTACCTTCGACGCCGGCGACACCGTCAAAGACGGCAACCGCACCGTCCAGCACACGCACCGCGCGCTCGACCTCGATGGTAAAGTCGACATGGCCCGGCGTGTCGATGAGGTTGATGCGGTGGTCCTTCCAGTCGAACGAGATGGCCGCCGACCCAATCGTGATACCGCGCTCGCGCTCCTGCGGCATGAAGTCCATGGTCGTATCGCCATCGTGGACCTCGCCCATGCGCGTGATGGCGCCTACTCGCAGGCTAACGCTCATCCTGCTGGAAGGTTCAAGTTGTACCGGAGTAGAAGAGCATGCGCTCGGTCGTCGTCGTCTTCCCGGCGTCAATGTGGGCGAGGATGCCAATGTTGCGCAGCTTGGCAATGTCCGTGGGCGCCGACGCGAAGCTCCGCGCGGCCAGCAGCACGCGGGCGCGGGACCGCGCCGAGACGAGTTGCCGCAACATCGAGTGGAATGGGCCAGTCAAATCCGGAAATGCCATATTTAGTGGCGCTTAAAACTGGCATCTGCCAATGTTTACGTGATGGATGATGGCACATGCCACGTTTAGGAATCGACGCCACGGTTCAGTCTCTAAGAGATGATACCCTCTTGCAATGCATCGATGCCATTGGATTTGACAGGTTTGGCGTACCAAGCTGGCTTCAACCTGGCAGCGCAGCCAAGAACGGCAGCGCATGGATGTCTAGAGCAGCGTCAAGGTGGCACCATGGATGATGAAACCATTTCGAATTAAATTCGATTTCAATGGAATTGGCCCTGGATATTTGGGCATGGTTGAAGCAGGACAACTGCCCCTATTGTGTGGCGTGTAGAGCAGTCCACTATGACCTTCGAGAGCTTTTTAACACAAGATAGGCAGTCGACCATGTATTGGTAGTCTTGTCACAGCCATATCGACGAGATACGCTGGGCCGATGAACATCACATTGATTCATGGGACGCGAAACTAATAGCGACAGTATGGCCACGTGCGATTCATGGCGTCCAAGCTCGGCGGTTCGACGTGTAGAAGCTGTCGCGGCCGTGTTTGCATATGAATACACATCAATTCGATCCGAGGTTCTGCTACACCTTGCCCATGCTCAATTTTGTGCGATTTCATTTCAGTGCTAATTGTACACTACTCCCCGGTCTTTCTAGCTCGCAACTTTTCACTCTCAGCCTCTCAGTGACCCCAAAAAGCGAGGTTTCATCTCGTTTTTGGATGCATGCACGCATTCGATCGACCATGAATATCACACGGGAGGTGCGAGGTGATTTTAATCAGCCAAGATCCACTCGTCAACGCATGGCACGAGCAACGAAAGCGACAGAAAACGGGCCAACGTTACAACGGCGTCGAAACAACTCTCACATAAAGCTGAAAAGTATAAAATTGCCCCTCGAAAAATGCGATGTTGATAACAAAAGTGGTAGCCAGCGCTCGTAGTCATAGTTGCCTGGACTCAATCTGGAACTACATTTATTGGGCTCCAGAGCATTCGTAGAGGAGACAGGCATGATGGTATGCCCCCACAGCTTTTGCAGTCTTTACTACGAGACGCATGAGACCCCTACACACCGAATTTGAGTTTGACGTCGCGCCACGCGTCGAGGTGTCCGCTGCGACTGCCACGTATGGCGCCCTGCTGCCAGATACCAGCAATCTGACCAATCGCACGTCGTGCATGTGAGAGATAATAACCTCTTTCAGTGAATAGATCGATGGCAAGGTCAACGACAGGATGGTGGAACATTTCAACGTGTCGACACGGACCAGAAATGGCAGCTTTAGGACATCAAGAGCAGTACAACGAAGACAATAATGCTATGAAGAACGTCTGCGTTCCAACTTGCTTTGCATCATGGAGGCCCTGGAAAATTGCTTGCTTTTTCCATGATAGCTGAACGACGCTTACCGCATCGACCTCATTTCTCAGCCATACCTTATTGCGCTCCCGTTAGACACGGAGCATTATGGACGAGGTCGAAAAAATGCTCAACCAGAGCTACCAACTTGACCGTTTTTACCACGTGCTCAAAGGGATATAGCAATGAATGCTGTTTCATTCACCATGTCAACCAAGACATCGAAAGCATCGAGCAACATCATTCGAGCAGGTAGCTCCCAGAAGTTACGTACGAGTACTGCGTCATCTCAGGCTCGTCGTTGATGCAAGGAGGACACAACCTCGATTTTACATGCAGATTTAGGGGATTTAGGCCACTATCTACGGCGTCAAGCCAAACCGGTCGCGCAGCAAGTCGAGGAGCTCGTCACGTTCGATTGTGCGACTCTCAATGACGCGTCCGTCCTCAATGACACTAAACGCGTTGTCGCGCAGCGTCAGCAGCTGCTTTCCAGTGCGCAGGGCGACGATAGGATGCCGCGTCATGTTCGGGAACGGACTCGTCGAGCAGTACCAGTTGGCCATCTCGTAGTCCTTGGCAGCCATCTTCATGGCGGGATGAAAGACATAGCTGGGATGCATTGGCTTGTTGGGGCCCGTTGCGTAGACCACGGCCCAGTTGGCGCCGTCCGAGATGGACACATCCAAGCAGCCGCCATACGTACTTGGTTCCACAGCGTGGTTGACATGGGCGCGCGCGAGGGCATAGCGCTCGCCTGTTGCGAGTTCGATTGGCGCCGTCGTGCATAGTCGCATGGGCCGGGGCGGCATGCCTCGCCCGCCAAAGCCCACGTCACAGAGGTACGGCGTGGCATCGCCCTCGACGTACACGAG